CTCACCTACGTAGTCGTTGTGAAGTGCCTACTATGTGCCCAGCACCGTGCCAGATCCTATGAGGTACAGAGATGCATCAGACATGGTCTCTACTCCATGGGGAATTTACAAAATCATTCGGGACATGTAGGGAGGGGAGGGCGAGTACTCCGTGTTTTATGTGGACACTGGGCCAGGTACACCCTTCAACTTACCCTGCAAGGTAAGTAGGCACATGAAAACAGTCGTATTCCTAACCATACCATTTGCACCTTTCCCTAGGGCAGGGGTGGGCAACCTTTTTGTGAGTGAGTGCCAAAACCAGCAAAATCTCTGACTCAAAATTCTTCTGCATGCCAACCCTAATTTTTTGAGAACATGTTACGCCTACATGATATCTCTTAAGGTGTACGTATGTGAAGAACCTTGAAGAAATAATAAAATTCGCCCTAACCAGTTTGGCTCAGTGGATAGAGCGTCGGCCTGCTGACTGAAGGGTCCCGGGTTCAATTCCGGTCAAGGGCATGTGCCTTGGTTGCGGGCACATCCCCAGGGGTGGGTGTGCAGGAGGCAGCTGATCAATGTTTCTCTCTCATCGATGTTTCTAACTCTCTATCCCTCTCCCTTCCTCTCTGTAAAAATATCAATAAAATATATTTTAAAAAAAGAAATAATAAAATTCATTCGAGTGTCAAAAACACAGTATATGATGATGAAAAATACATTTATTTTTTAATGTATACATGTACACTGGTAGTCTGACAGAAAACTTTATGACTCCGTTTGATATTATCAGTGGGACTTTTGCTGCTGCATCACTGATGACAGAGATTTTACATCAGGTTTATATTTCGTGACCTTCAGAGATATGCACGAGCTACTACTTTCATCCGTCAGGCTACTCCTATTATGAGATTTAACAAAATTCATCACTGAGAACAAAGATTCACAAGCATATGTGGATGAAACCAAAACACTGGTCGGATCTAGGAAGGCAGGGAGAGTTAAGGCAGAGGCATAGAAATTGCTCTTCCCCTCTCTGGTCAATTCATGTCTATGGTCTTTAAGATAACTTGTTATGAAAAATTATTTATTTATCTAAGATGCACCTACACTGAATTTATCTGAAAAATAAAAAAGCCGATATTAAGAAAAAAAATTATAAATGGAAGATTATAAGAAAGGGTTTCGCGTGCCAGCGAAAGTTACTGGCGTGCCATGTTTGGCACGAGTGCCAGGGGTTGCCCACCCCTGCCCTAGGGTCTCCACAGCCCTCTCTGCAAGGCAGCATAGGATGCATTCTGCTCCTTCTCACCTCCTCATGGACCAAGCCCCAGATCCAACATCACTTCCCACATCAAGGCTTCTTGGCTGCTGCTGCCCCGCAGACCCCCAGATTTTAGTCCTCCCTCCTCGTGCCCCGTGGTTGCATGTTGCCAATGACATGCTATGCTATCCCAACGGGGATTTGAGCTCCCTGTTGAGGGTAGGGCTTGCACCCGAGTTCCCTGTGTCGCCTCTGACCAGGGACATCCCCCCACCCCACCCCAAGGTGAGCAGTGGATTCTTACTGGCTGGCTGGCTGGGGGAAGTGGTACGTGGCTGGAGGAATGTGTCCAATGACTGTGCCCAGGAAAGTGCTGTGGGTTACAAAGCAGCTGGGACCAGTGCTCAGAACCAACAGAAATCAGGGTGCCCTGCGGGGAGGGGGGGGACCAGGCCACCAGCCAAATGCAAATCAGCAGGGGTCAGGGGCAGCCTCTCCTTTCTCTGGCGCTTGGGGAGAACAGGAAGTGGAGTCCGGGCAGCTGTTTCTGATGAAAATAGATGTTCTCCGGGCTTGAATGTGGGGCATGGAGGAGGGGGCAGGGGACAGAGAACGGGAAGGGGGAGCGCCTCCCAGAGAAATGGAACATCCAGGCCCTCTCTGCCTCAGTCTGCTTTCTATTACGGCAGCTTCCAAGCACCCACCAACGTAAAAATAATAACATAATGAACCCCATGTGCCCATCACCAGCTCCAACAACCATCCCCGTGTTGCCATTCTCGTTTCGTTCTCCCCCCGGGCACCTTGTTAAAAAGGATTCCAGATGTTTTATCATTTTACTTATAAACATTTCCAAAGGTGTCTCTCATATGTTACGACGTCGAGACAAACCTCCATATTGTTATCACACCTGATAAAACTAACTATTTCTGAATCCCAATCGAATAAAGTCCATGTTCAAATAGTCTCATTTTCCTCAAAAAATGTCTTTCAGGATCCATTTATTTAACCAAGACCTCAACAAGGTCCGTATATTATATTTTGTTGTCATGACTCTCGATCTCTTTCCATCTCTCAGCTCTCTCAGTCCCTCTCCCCCTTTTTTATGCCCTTTTACGTGTTGAAGAAACGAGGTGCTTTGCCCTCGTTGTTGGCTCGGTGGGTTGAACCCTCGTGGTGGCATTAGCATGTCCCGCTGCTCCCTGTTCCAGAAAATGGGCATTTCGATCGGAGAGCGGCTCTGTGCAGGGTCGATTACTTCGATAAGCAGACCTCCTGGGCGGAGCTGTGCCCCTCCTACTGCATGTACCAGGAGCACTGAGTCAGGTGTTCCTTTGGGGGTTGTACTAAGGATGACCGGTGTCACCCGCCTGATCTCCCCATTAGGAAGCTCCCTGCCGCCTTTCCCCAGTGGTTCTAGCACCTTCCACAGAATCTGAAAGCACTCGCAGACCGGGGAGAGATCTGAGGAACCCACTCGCTCACTTTCCTACTCATCCCACAGGATTTGTTGAGCATCTACCGTATGCCAGGCCGTGAGCTGCAGGGACCAGAACCAACACGCTCCCTGGGATCGTGGAGCCATCGGTCGGATGGGAGCAGACAACCAACACGTGAGCAAGCAGACGCACCAAGAGACGTGTCTGCGAGGGTTAGAGCTCTGCAGAGCGCCACCGTGGAGTGAGGTGGCCACCGTGGCATGGCGGCCAGGGAGAGCCTCCCTAGGAGAGGACACTAGAGCCCGATCCAGCCATGCAGAGATGGGGGTGCACTCCAGGGAGAGGGCCTGGGCACCCACCAGGAGAAATGGGCGGGGGGGGGGCAGTGTGCCAGGGCCTGTGCAGTGGGGAGACCAGCAAGGAGGCTTCTGTGCAGGTGGGACTGACAATGGCTGGGACCTGGGTGGCAGAGTGGAGAGGGAGGCCAGCCCAGCACCCCTTTCACCCCCTTTTACAGCCGAGAACGCTGAGCTCAGAGAGGGCAGGGAGGTGGTGCTTCTTAAGACGCTACCCGCGCCAGGAGCTTCCTGTGCAGCCTCCAGAGACCACACAGCACGCTGTGTCGGAGTCATGGCGCCTGTGTCACAGGGGAGACCAGCGGAGGTGGAGCCGGGCCCGGAGAGGCTCCTGACCTCCAGAGCCGGCCCACGCTGAGGGGACCTCGGCAGGGCCAGGTGCCTCAAGTCGGCTCTGGCACCCATAGCCCTTCTCCCTCTCTGTGCCTCAGTTTCCTAACCTGCAAACGGGAGTGACATGTGGCCCAGGGGCACAGCAAGGCCAAGATGGGGTAGTTCAACCTGCCCCTGCTCCCAGCGCCTGCCCACGGGCCCACGAGGGTCACCTCAGCACAGAGTACAGGCGGCTGCACGCTCTCCCATCCAGACACACACAGGGTTAAACCCAGCCTCCCTCCTCCATCCCAATTCTGATCCTTGCTGACTCTGCCCCCACCCCCCACAGCTATTTTGGGACAATGGAGGCAGCAGATGGCCTGTACCCTCCACTCGACCCTCAGAATTTGGGAACAGCCGCGAGTCTGATGCTGCTTCCCTCAGCAGGGCGGCAGGCCGCCTTCCACGTGCAGCGCGGAGAGGACCGGACCAGACTGGACCGTGGCTCTGGAGCACACACCACCCCCACCCCCACCCCCACCCTCCCCACACCGGGCTGCGGGGCCGGGACATTCCTCCTGGCTCACATCCCACAGACGCAGCCCAGGGAGACAGAAGGCTTGGAAGAGCCCAGCCCTCTGGCTCAGCACCTGACCTGCCCTGTGACCCCGAGCACACAGTGGCCCCTCGCTGGGGCTCAGGCTGCCCCCCGGAAAACAGGGCTGAGGCTCTGGGCTCAGGGGTCCCAGACAGGGGAGCAGCAGGGACCAGTCCTTCAAGGGCTGGACGGTGTGTCCACAGGAGCCCCCACCCCTTAGGCCCTCTCCTCCCTCTTCCCTCCTCCCCCAGCCCAGAGCCCCACGGTGACCCTGACTCCCCGCATCACTGGGCGTGGTGCGGGTGGGGAGAGAGACTTCCCATCCCTAACCCGCCCCAGCCGAGCACCACCGGGCCAACATTTCCCACAGTCACTTCATTCATTCATCCAACCGCTCTGGGACCGACATTCTCAGGGCACTTGCATTTATTCAGCTCCCACCTTGGCTGTGACCCCCGTGCACCCCTTTATCCGACATCAGAGTCTGAATCCTTCAGCTCCGAGTCTCCACTCTGCCTTCCCTGATTCCCTGATTCCCTGGCCTCCCCCAACCCAGGCCTGAGGGCAGAGGGAAGGAGGAGGAGCTCCCGCATACCAGCACCTCCTGGCACGCACATATTCACACGCGTGTACATGTACACACATGTGACAGGGGCACAAACACATACGTACACCACACACAAGTCTTAGCACGGACATGTGTAGAAGAAAGAGCACATGCCGCACACACACCTGTCACACCATGACGCACACACACTAACAGCAGTCGCCGTTCTCTGTGCCGGGCGCTGTGCCGGGCCCGACACCGCATCGTTCCATCCAGACACCAACCCGGGAGGAAGGTATTCCCTTTGTCATCTACTAGAACAGGAGCATCTGGGCAAACAGGCCAGAGAGACCTAGTGGATTCCCCAAGGCTGCACAGCGAGGGCAGAGCAAGGATGGATGGCTCGAGACCCAAGTCAACGCCACTGTGACAGGCAGACCAAAGACCCCGCCCCTTCAGGGACATGTCAGCCGCGTGTAACAAAAACCTGGGCCAAGAGAGACTTGAACAAACAGGGCTTTACTTTTCTCACAGAACCAGATGCTAGACAAGACAGGTGCGGAGGGTTGTCCTGGCCTCTCCTTCATGGCCGCCAAGTGGCTGCCCAGATCCAGACATCGCACCCACATCCACAGCGGGAAGAGCGAGGGCGGGGCGGCAACACTTTCCCCGGACTCCTCCCCCTTGGCCTTGCCCAGTTCACAGGAAGGGACAGAGCTCTGACTAGCAGAGCTGGGCGCATGGAAGCGCCTAACCGCACGGGGAGCTGAGAGTGAGCAAAAGGCTCGTCAGGCTTGGCTGGGACCCATGATGATCCATCGTCGGCTCCGGGCAGGCTGACCCTCCAAACAAAACCGGGGCCTGTTAGCCAGGGCGGGGGGCAAGGAGCTGGAGGCAGCCAGCAACCACAGCACCTGCCACAGACCCTGCCCTCGGCCGCCTTGCCCCCTGGTGCCCCGAGGTTGCGGACCAGGCCCAGGGACCCAGGAGTGAGTGGCGGGCCCAGTGCTTGACCCAGGGAGTGACAGAGACCAGAGCTGGGCTGGGGCCACCCCCCACCCAGAAGCCCCTGTAATGTTGCTGCGGTTTCAGACTCCTGAGCCCCAGGCCAGCTCAACGGCCCCCACCCTTTTCAATTCAGCCACCCAGGGCCCCTGGGAGCCCAGCCCCTGGGGCCTCTCTGACTCCACCGGGTTCCCGGGCCATCCGACCCTCGTCTCCGGAGCCTGGGATGCCTTCATCACCTGTCACCATCCGATCCTGGGCTTGCCCAGCACTCGGCAGCCCTGCCGGGGACTGCCCACCCAGGGCACTGCCGCCGGCCCTCGGGCTGCCTTGGGAGGCGAGGGACCACCAGAGGCCTCAGTCCACATTCCCCCGGCATTTCCGGGCTCATCGGGCCACCAGCTGTGGGCACCAGGGAGTGTCGGGGTAGAGGAGACAATGCAGGGAGCGGAACCTGAGGAGAGACCAGAAACGGCCCAGGCGTCACCCCACTCCTACCCTTACCCCTCGGGCTCCTGGGGGGGGGGGGGGGCGCACGTCACAAGGACGGATTGGAGCGGGATTTCTCCGCCTCAGCACTATTCACATTCGGGACTGTGAGTTCTTCGTTGTGGGGCTGTCCTGTCCATTGCGGGATGTTTAGCCGCGTCCCCTGGACTCTGCCCACTACATGTCGTTAGCATCTCCCTACGTCAGTGGTGGCGAACTCATTTTTTTGGTTGATTTTTCTTTGCTAAATGGCATTTAAATATATAAAATAAATATCAAAAATATGTCTTTGTTTTACTATGGTTGCAAATATCAAAAAATTTCTATATGTGACACGGCACCAGAGTTAAGTTAGGGTTTTTCAAAATGCTGACACGCCGAGCTCAAAAGGTTCGCCCTCACTGCCCTGCGTGGTAACATTCAAGCATGTCTCCAGGCACGGCCAGGTGTCCTCAGGGGCCCTGGCTGAGAACCGCTGCCTCAGGGACGCCTCCAAGGCCAGAGGAGCCAGAGGAGGCCCAGCTGAGCTGGGGCCTTCCAACCCTGCATAGCCTAGTCCCAGTCGGCTCCAGCCCCTCAAGCAGAAACCCATGGACCCTAGACTCTATGGGCTTAGAGAACGTAACAGCAATTATTAAACCTCCTGACAGCACAGCCACAGTTTGCACACCTCCACTGATGGGGAGCTCACCCCATTAGAAGGAACCCCCTGGCCCCCAGCCCTTGGAATAGTTATGTCTTCTGTGTCTCCCTCCCACCCCCAACAGACAGCTGTGCAGAACTTCAGAGCCAGGAGGCCTGGTCCCCCCACGGGTTACATAATTCAGATAAATCCAAAGTCCAGACCCAAGGCCTTGCGGGGAGAAGAATCGGCACCACCCTCCTCTCTTGTCCCACATTCCAGTCCCACTGCCTTCCTCTACCTCCTGGAGCAGGTCTCGTCCCTCCTGCCACCGTGGGTCACAGGCTGTGCTCTGAGCTGCTCCACGGCAGCCAGGGCTGAGCTGAGCAGCCCCAATCAACCTGGGGCCAGTTTAGGGCAGAACCGGAAGGTGCCCAGGTGACATCTCAGCTCCTATCCCAGTCTTCTACCCACAGAAAAGAGCCACTGAAGAGATTCAAGGAAACAAAGATCAAATAACACTTCCCCAGCGGGGCCTGCAGGTCCTTCATGGGAGCAGGTCCTTGCTCAGCAAAGACATTCCCATATTCCAGAGGACCGGGACTGGGAGGGCCTCCAGATGCACAGCACCCAGCCTCCTGGGGTTACAAAATGGGGAGATTATGGCCCAGAGAGGGCAAGGCACTTGCCCAAGATCACACAGCAAGCCAGCGGTGGAGCAGGGACTAACACCATGCCCTTCACTCCCAGCTCTGTGCCGTCAGCCCAAGGGCCTCTCACACCCCTCCCTCCTGGCTCGCCCACCTTTGGGCGCCTGGGCTCAGCCCCCATTCCTCCCATTCGACAGTTTCAGCCCCAGACCCACCTGGAGGGGTCCTCCTCGGGGGAGAACGGGCCCTGCAGCTTAATGACGTTGAGCTTCCCCTCAAAGACGCCGTAGCTGAGGGTGACCTGGGCAGGGAGAAGCAGAGAAGAGGGGGGAGGGTTGAGGGGTGTTCCATGGGGGGAAGCAGGAAGGCACACAAGGCATTTTGAGGGCTCAGAGAGCCTGCCTCTGCGCCTGAAACCCCATTAGCGGAGGGTGCGTCACTGAGGAGCCCCCTCGACCCCCCCAACACTCTAAGTGTGAAGCGCACCTTCAGGCCCAAATCCCATTGCAGCCCCAACAGTCCAGCTCACTAGGAGGCTGCAACGATTCCCTCATCCACAGGTTGGGAAACTGAGGCCCGAGAGGGAAGGCATCTTTCCAGTACGCTGTGTGCCTGGTGGAGGTTTCCCGAGGCTCACTCTGGGCCCTCTCAGATCCCCCTCCACACCCCAGAGCCTCCGGTTCTCCGCAAGCAGCAGGGGCTCGGGATCACGACCCCAGCCCAAGGCTGTCAAGGGCAGTGGCTATCGACTGTCAGCTTAAGGGCCACCCCACCAGGGCTCAAATCCCCCTCTGCCATGTACTCATGTGGCCATGGCTAGTTCCGCTCTCTGGGCCTCAGTTTCTCAGTGGGATGGAAATGTTAGCACCAACCTCCTGTGCGTGTTGTGAGAAACCAGGGAGTTAAAGAAGATAAGGCCCCAGCGTGGTGCCCGGCACAGTGAGTGCTCTGGAAAGCCCATTCGGGTGCCCTGGTTACCCCATTCGGGTGCCCTGGTTACCCCATTCGGGTGCCCCGGTTTGGTTGCCTCAAATCTGCCCCCCTTTCCTGGCTTCAGGCCCTGAGGTGCTAATGGGACCAACCCCACAGCCCGCTCCAGGCCTAGTGACCTACACTAACTCTGGGCGCTGACAGGAGACTCGTCACATGACCCAAGCGGGCCGCCTGACCAGTGAGCGCAGCCTTGGGATCTGCGGAAGGAGGCACCCTCCTCCTCCGGGTGAGAGAAACCTGGGCTGCCAGGGTGCCAGCAAGGGGGCGACCTGACTGAGAACCGGGCCAGCGTGGGGGAAGGCAGGTGAACGAGGGGACAGACCCCTAGAGCCAGGCCCAGCCAGGCCCGGCAAGTACAGCCAAGCCCTCAGCTTCGCAGGCGCACGGGCCCATAACCGTCCTGTCGTTTATCCAGTCCCTGCTGCTTTGCTATCACTGGCTGCCGAAAGGGCTCTGCCTGGCACTGTTGGGCGGAAGATGCCAGGGGCCCCCCAGCCAGGACCACCTACAGGGCTGGAACCTGTGAGCTGGAGAAGAGCATCCGCAAGGCCGAGCCAGTGGGACCGCAGTAGCCATTACCCCTCCCCGAGCCTGACTTCACGCTTCAGTGTCCTCACCGAAGACCGGTCCTTCCCAGTAACGTCTGGGTTAGAAGGAAAAGCAGCGAGCAGCGGGCAGGGAAGCTCTGAGGAAGGGAGGGAGGGACCGCCGACAAAGGGCAAAGCTGCCAGGGCAGGGCTGGTCCCTTCGGAGGGATGTGGGGAGGACGGCAGGTTGAAGAAAGGAGAGAGGGACAGGAGGCAGCGGGTTGGGAGCAAGGTTATCTGAACCTGAAGACAAGCTTCGTCCCATCTGGCAGGTCCTTCCCGCTGGCACTTGGGGACCAGTTCAAAGAATTTTAGCATCACATCCCTGGAGGTCTGAAGGTGGAGAGTCACTGTATGCCCTTAAGGCAGCGGTTCTCAACCTTCCTAAGGCCGCGACCCTTTAATACAGTTCCTCATGTTGTGGTGACCCCCAACCATAAAATTATTTTCGTTGCTACTTCATCACTGTAATTTTGCTACTGTTATGAATCGTAATGTAAATATCTGATATGCAGGATGTATTTTCATTGTTTCAAACTGAATACAATTAAAGCGTAGTGATGAATCACAAAAATAATATGTAATTATATATGTGTTTTCCGATGGTCTTAGGCGACCCCTGTGAAAGGGTCGTTCGACCCCCAAAGGGGTCGCGACCCACAGGTTGAGAACCGCTGCCTTAAGGGGTCCTCTGCCACCCTGGGCCTCAGTTTACCTGTCAATAGGGGGACAGCCCAAAACATGAGCACCTCCCCACTGACACGTGCCCTGGGCCGCTCACCTGCTCCGGGAGCTGGGCAGCCCCCAGCAGCTGCAGGGTCTCCAGGTGGGAGTGGAAGAGGGGGCTGGGCTGCAGGCGGCCACCCAGCTTGCACTCGATTATGTAGCCCACCGTGCAGTCGTCAGGGAGCCGGATGAGCGCAGATGTGTCCACGAAGCGGGGGCCGCTGAGGGGTAGAGCCGTGTTATGGCCACTGGCCTGGACCCTCGACACCTAGAGCCCACCCTGCCTCCCAGAAGGCTCTCCTGGGACCAGCTGGCAGAGCAGAGCCTCCTGCATACGGTGTGACCTGGGCTGTCACTTAAAACCTTCCTGCTGCAAAGTCCCCGTGCCTACACCAAGCGCCACCTGCTCTCAGCAACCCCCGCCCTCCCCCACCCACCTGGGGGTCTCTGCTTACCTGGCCCATGGGGCCATCTTCAAAGCCAGTTTCCGGCTGATGCAGAAGCCAGCACCCCCAGTGGCAAACCAGAACTGGACCAGCCTCTAGGGGGAGAGGAGGGGGGTGAGCCTGGGGTGAGGGGGGATGGGGGTGGGGGCAACAGCCAGGCCACCCCTCACCACCATCTAGCATGGCGCCAAAGCTTTTTTTTTTAATATATACTTTTATTGATTTCAGAGAGGAAGGGAGAGAGAGACAGAAACATCAATGATGAGAGAGAATCACTGATCAGCTGCCTCTTGCATGCCCCTCACTGGGGATCAAGCCTGAGACCTGGGAATCGAACCCTGGCCTCCTGGTTCATAGATTGATGTTCAACCCCTGAGCCACGCCGGCCGGGACGCGCCAAAGCTTTTTAACTCACGCTTCACTCGAGTCTTGCTACAGCCTACCATTTTTATGCCCTTTTTATAGGTAAGAAAACTGAGGCCCAAAGTCACAGCGCTAATCAAGGGTCTAACCAATTAGACCAGTGAATTGGTTGGATCCAGTTTAAAAGGGCAGGTGTGCTCTCTGTGTGCCCTGCACACCTTCCCCCGCTCCCCAGAGAAATGTCTTCGCCTTCCCCCATGTGGTTTGAGAGGGGCTACCAAGCACAGCACCTGCTCCCCTAGGCCACAGAGGTGGGCGGGAATGATCACAGGGCCACACCTCTTGACCAGGTGATTGGCTCAGCAACAGGCACATCACTTAAGCCAGCCAATCAGAGCCCTTTCCTGAGCTTTCTGTGCAACTGTGAGGAAGAGATGTTTTCGCCAGGCTCACAAGCTGTAACCCTGATGCCTCCTACTTGGGGACACATACACCTGCTCCTGCCACTCCGATCCCCTGGGAAAGAGCGCTTTTCCACAAAAGAGAGAATGAGACTCACTGGGTAAAGAGAACAGGCATGCCTGTGAGCCCCTGAGGCCAGAAACCCCTTGACATCTCAACCTCAGGAACCAATCACATCCCTTTGGGACTTGAACCCCTTCCTGCCCCTGCCCAGCATCACCAAGGCCTCCTCCAGCTCCTCTGAGAGGCCCCGTGAGTTCACCCTGGAATTTCTCTGAGGCTTTTGAGAAACACTGGACCCTTTGAGCTGTACCATCCCTTGGTCAAGCCAATTCCCTATGGTTACCTTCTCCCACATACATAGTTGTTGCTTCGTTGAGGCATGTGGCATGGGGTTGCATCTCCCATGATGCAGCAGTGAGAAGAAGCCTCAGCAGGGAGTTGGGAAGCCTGGGGTCCCTGCTTCCCCCACTTTAAGAAAGTCACTGCCCCTCCCTGGGCCTGATTTGTCACCTGTGAGCGCGACACTGGCTCTAAGTTCTAAATCGGACGGTTCCCCTGGCCCGGAGCATCCTCCTAAAACCTCTGTGAGCTGACTTCTGGGAACACTGCCCTCCTACAGGGAGGTCAGGGCTCAACAAGGCGGAATGAATGGCTTCTTAAGGACCTAACACACAGGAGGTGCCCAATAGATGCTTGTTTAATGAATTGATGATAATTATAGTGACACCAGCAGTAACACTGTAACCGCCGGACGCTGAGCACCGGCTGTGCCGAGGGCTGTGCCGCGGATGAGGTGCCCAAGATGCACAGAAGTGAAGTCACTTGCCTGAGGTCCCAGCGCTGGGCCTAACCCCAAGCCAGCGATCTTGCCCTTTTTTCTGTCCCACGCTGGCTGGTCCCAGGCTCTGAACAGGCTGGGAAACTCGGGGGGTGGAGTCCTGGCATCCCACGGGTGGGGTGTGTGCCAAGGAGGGCATTCGTGCGCATTGTTGGGGACTGGGCCTGGGTGTGCCCCGCAGGGGGCTGAACCCGCTCAGAGATGAAGGCTGCGTTGGGTGCCGACTGCTAACACTTACTAGTGTCTATTACATACCAGCTCCCATTCCAAGCACTTGGATAGATGCCACTTGATTCTCTCTCTTTTTTTGCTCTCAACCACCCTATGAGGAAGAGACTATTCCCACCCATTTCACAGATGAGAAAACTGAGGCACGGAGAGGTAAGGAGACTTCAGTCAAGGTCATGAAGCCAAGAGGTGGCAGGGCTGGCGCGTGAACCCAGGGAGTCCGGCTCCAGAGCGGAGCTCTCCACCTCTGAGGTCAGGGGTGAGGTGGTGTGGGAGCCCGGGGGACCCCTCAGCTCACCTGAAATCGACTCACATACACACACCCTGGGGCCCCGGAGGATTTAATTAGGACCCGGAGGCTGATTAGCTGCTGATAATTAAGGTTTTGTGTTGCTTGCTCTCTTGGTTTCCCTAATGAAGCAGATGGTGACCGAGGGAGGAGACAGCCCCGTGCGGGCCCAGCGCCTGCTGCAGACGCTGCCTCCAGAGAAGCACAACTTGCCTTTTCCTGGGGCCCAGGGAGCCCTGGAGGCCCCGGCCCCCCACACGGAACCCCCAGTGGCGTCCTGGGGCAGGTGGGAACGCAGGCAACATATCTGGACTCAAAAATTCTCTGCTCATCTGAAAGTCAAATTTAACAGGTATCTGGTTTTGTTTATTTGTTTTCTCAACCTGGGAACCCTAATCAGTGTCCACCCAGGCCAGAGCGGAAGCTGGCGCTGGGGGCCCTGTTAGGTCAGGCGTCAACTCTCCAGTCGCAGGTGAGTGAAGTCTGAAGGGAGGGGGTCCCCTAGGGGAGGGGAGCGTCCAGGGGCCGAGGCCTGGGGGGTTAGCCTGCCGACCCGGCAGTATTCGCATTTGAACAACCTGTACAACCACGCGACGCACCAGGTGGCTAGGAGCCCAGCTCATCCCCGCGCTCGCGGTGTGACCAGGACTAGCCACTGCTCCCCCGTGGCCAAGGCCCGACCTTGTCTCTCTGCCTTCCTGGCATGATCTCAGTCTCCCCATTCCACAGAGGGTCAGAGGTAAAGCCACCAGCCTGACACACAGCGAGACCCAGAAAGCCCACCGCCTCGTCCACAGCCCTGCCCCCAGCCTGGCCCCACCCCAAACCCCAGAGTCCAGGCTGGCCCCTGGCTGGTGGCCAGGGCCCGAAGATGCCAGGGAGGGACCGACCAACCGTGCGATTGTGGGGCTGCGGCTCCGCAGCGTGGATGGGCCGGTTCAGGCTGGGCCGGCCGATATACACATCCAGCGTCTGCGGAAAGGCCTTTAGCAGCTTCAGCAGCGCCCTTGCGTTGACATAGTTGTCATCATCTACGTGGCAGAACCACCTGTGGGGATGGGAGGGGACAACGAGCTTGGAGGGGGCTTCCCAAGGGCTGCCAGCCGCTGTGCCCCCACAATCTATAATAATCTAAATAATAAAAGCATAATATGCAAATCAACCATCCGGACGGACGACCACGCTGTGACACCCACCGCTGCCAGGCCAGCCAAGGCAGGTGCGATGCAATTGGTTGGGGGCCTGGCCATTGCCCCATGATCGCCCCAAAGAGGGAGGCCCAGGCCACGGACCAGCGGGCTGCGGCAGGTGGGCGGGGCCTCCCTCTGCGGGGGTGGGAGGTAGGAGGGGGCAATCCATCCCGGAGCCCTGGCCAGGTGGGCAGGGCCTATCTCTTTGGGGCAATGGATCGCAGAGCCCCGTGATCAATTGCCCCAAAGAGGGAGGCCCTGGCTACCCTGCAGTGGTGCTGTGGGGGTGGGCGGGGCCTCCCTCTGTTGGGCAGTGGATGAGGGAGGGGGCTCCCAGACTGTGAGAGGGTGCAAGCCAGGCTGAGGGACACACCGCCCCCCCCCGCCCGCAAGAATTTCGTGCACCAGGCCTCTAGTCAATCAATAAACAGTTACCGGGTGGGGTGGCTCTGTGCCAGGCAGTATCTGTGTAAGCTCCTGAAGAAGATCTGCCCATTGAACCAGTGGGGACTAAGACTCAGAAAGGTTAAGACACTTGCCCCAGGTCACACAGCCAGTGAATGGCAGGATTTGAACCTGGACCGTCTGCCCAAAGACAGAGCACAGGAGGCCTTACACGACGAAATTCACAGGACCCAGGTGACGTCACTGTTTTGGCACAACACCCTGTTCAGGAAGTGGCCTGAGGCGAAGGTTACACCTGCCCTCAGAGACCCAGACGCACTCACCGCAGTCCACTGGCCAAGAAGGCATCCAGCTCAGCAGCCATCTTGCAGGACAGGGCTGGGTGGCTGTGCTCCGCAGAGCAGTTGGTGACCACTAGGTGGGGCCCTGGAGAAGGGAGGACAAGTGTGAGGCCCCTGCCCGCCTCCTCCCCACAGCTCTGCACACAGGCCCCGTGACAGGGCGGAGCAAGGCCAGTCCACCACTCCCATTTCACACACGGGGAAACTGAGGCCAGGGAGGGCTGACCTGCCCAGGACCCCAAAGCTGACGGATTTGTCCAGCACAGCCCCTCCCCACACCCACACCCATTTCCGGGGAAGAAGCTTGCTCTGCTCTGGGGCCAAGGGGAATCCCCACAGGCCAAGAGCAGGCAGCCCTGTTTTCCGGGGACTCCCAGGCCAGGGGCAGCCACCCCCCAGCCCAGGCGGTTACCCAGTCTCTCCTGGAGGCCTTCATCCCGGCCGTCAGTGAAGACAAACGTCTGGGAAGAAGAAGGAAGAGTCAGGATGGGGCTCCGCCAAGGGGAGTGGGAGGCGGGGAGGGGTGCCTGCAGCCCGATGGTCCACCCGGCCAGGTAGATACGCACAGCAGACCCCGCTGCTCCTTCGGGGGGGGGGCACACACCCTCGCCCGGTCACACTCTCCCTTAGGACAACCTGACCTTCTCGGCGACACCCCCATGCTACACACACACACACACACACACACACACACACACACAACTGTGGGGGCTAAAGAAATAGTAATACTTTCCCTCCCACCTTCTACCTTCTTCTAGCTGGGCTAGTAACCAAATTAACAGAGAGAGAATCATAGGAGAAAGTCATAGTTTTAATACATGTGCATGGGGAATCCACAGAAGCATGAGAGTTCCAAACACAGTGGGGCAGCATTGGGAAGATAAGACATTTTGGAGAAAGGAGAAAGGGGGAGGCATTAGATTTCAGGAGTGAGAAAGGGCCATTTGCAGGTAGTTAGGGAAGAGCAGAGCACACCTGGCAGGAAAATCCTGCAGCTCAACAGCAGCGAGACGAAGGAGGTGTCTGGGGAGGTGTCTGGGGAACTGTGAAGGTGAAGATTCTTAAGGTGATTGAGCCAAGGCCCCCACCGAAGGCAGGCAGGAAAGGGGGAGGGGCAGCGGCCCCTCTGGGTCTGCTTCTTCACCAACAGCTTCAAGTCACAGGGTGGCAACACCTTGGTTCCCTCCACAAGCCACCTTCTGCAGACACACAACTTCACTGTGTGCACCCACCCATCCCTCTCACTCACGCGGCCCTTCACAGACCAGCGCCCCCAGGGACCCTGGCAGTCACACGCCCCTGGCAGAATCACACACTCACACACACACACACACACACACACACACACACACACACACAAAACACAACACAGAGTCCCACCTGGCTCCTTCTCAGTCACATATACACAACCCTAAACAGCATCAGGAGACAGACTGCATGAAAAAGACCACAAGCTGGGCTACTGCATCACTTAGGGAGCAGCCACAGCTTCACAGCCACGCAAAACCCCTGTGGAGTGTGGGGGCGCCACGCATCTCAGAAATCCTGCATCCTGCCCCCATGCAGCCCTCCCGGGTGGACAGGCCCCCCACCAGGGCCTTTCACACTCCTGGTCCCGACTAAACATGGAGACGGGTGTTCCGTCTGTCCCCCTCACAGATGGCAAAACTGAGGCGACATGAGGGACCAAGGCGTGTGGCAGTTGGCAAGTGGAGCCAGGATTCGAACCCACAGGCCTGGGGCCCCTCCCTACTCCCAAATCCCAGCTACCCCGGGGAAGGCACCTCAGGCCCAGAGCCTCAAGCCCGAGCTCTGAGCTCCCCGGATCTGTACTTTCTCCTGGTCTCCCCATCATTCTGAGATCAACTCCTTGGGGTCAATGTGCCTCCTCTCTTTCTCTCACACCCACCCCCAATCCAGTCTGTCAGCTGACCTTTCACCTTTAAATGACCCAACTTCTCCCCACCAGCCTCACAGCCCAGGCCTCACTGCGGTCCGGCCCACCCTCCCTGTCACCTCCTGCCTGCTTTCCGCGTCACCTTTCGCCCGGGCTCCCTGCTCCTCCTGCCCCCAACCCCAAGTCTGTTTTCAACACAACCCCCGAGGGAGCCAGTAAATCAGCCAGGCCTTTCCCCCTGCTCCCTGGCGAACGTTTGCCACCAGATAGAGGAACTCTTCTAGAGTGTGGAGCCTGAGCCAAATGGGCCAGGGAATGTTTGTGGAGGGTGAGGAAGCGGGAATGAAAGGAGGGGTCCCCACGCAGGGCCTGGGGCTGGGCAGGCGCATGGGAATCCTGAGGTTGGCACAGGGCAGTGGGCAGTGTCCTCTGAGCAAGGGTTGCATTTGATTTGTTTAAAGAGGGGACCCTGGCAGTGGCTAAAATCTCGCAGGAAAACAAAGGGACAGGCAGCCTGTTAGGGGGAGGGGAGGGGTGGCTGGAGGGCCATCTGCTCCAGTGGAGGGAAGTGAGGGACCCGCGCTGCTACCCATCCCTCCCCCCCAGCCCTGGAGGGGACTGTGGGGAAGAGAAAGGCTCCTCTTGGGTCACAAAACACGCCTCCCCCAGCCCACCCCTTCTGCCTGGGACAAAGGCCGCGCACGAGCCCCAGCCGCTGCCACAAAGGCCCACCTGCCACCCGGCCGCCCTTAACCAGCTGGGGTGGGCGCCCAGCCCTGGAGTTAACCAGCTCGGCCCAGCTCCTGACGGCAGAGCTGCGAGAGATGCCAAGACCCTCCCGTCCTGTGCAGATGGGGAAACTGAGGGCTGGAAGTGGGAGGGCTTTGCCAAGGTCACCGAGAGAGGAGCCAAAGGCTGGAGAAGCAGCGAAAGTGGGTCTCCCTGCCCCCCCTCCTCTTCCTCCGTTTCAGCCTCCTTCCTTTTTTCACCTCTGCCCTGAAAGACAAGACTCGGGACTCCGCCCCCTGCACTGGGGGGCGAGGGCTGGAGTTCGGCTGAGTGAGTCCATCTCCCACCCCTGTTAACAGGGCTCATTTTCCTGGCCTGTGCAATGGGAATATCCAGAGTGTCAGCCTCCTCTTACCCCTTTAGTTCTTCTGGCCGGTCCGATCATTCAAACAGCACATTAACAGGAGAAAATCAAATGTTAATACCTGCACACCGGGAATTCGCAGAGGCATGAAAATTCCCCAAATAGGGAGACTTCTGGACTGAGAGGGGGAGGCAGGCAGTTCAGTTAGATGAGAAGGAGCAAACATTTGCTAAACAGATTCCTGCAGGGCCACCAGCAATGATGGACACGAGGGGTGATCTAGGGAAGAGCTCTTCACGCGCCCACCGAGGTGGCTGTGCCAAGGTTCCTGCCTGGGCCAGCTTTTTCTCTCCCCGTCTCTTTAGGCACGAAAGGCAGGGGTCTGAGCCTCTTCCTGAGTATGTTTCGGCTCGAAACCCTCTACATGCCAGGGTGGCACATCGTGGGGACCCCATAATGGCTACCACGTGGGGCTGTTGGGAGGGTTAGATTGAGTGATGCCTCTGACTCGCGGCCCCTTAGATGCTGAGCGGGTTCTCCCCCTGGCTGCCGGGGTGGCATCTGGGATTGAACTGGGGACACAGAGGGGTCAGCTGCTTGGCTCTCCTCTCCCGGCCCGGTCCTGCCAGGCCCAGCCGCCTGGGCTGGAGGCCCAGGACCCTTTCCTGCAGCCCAGTGACCAGGCAGCTGGATCCCGGGTCTCGGCAGAGAAGACAGGGCCCTGGCCAAGAGGTGGGGGCTGGTCCCACTGGGCTCTGTCCCCTCAGGCCTTCAGGGTGACACACAGGCAAGTACTTCCTCCCCTTGGGCCTCAGTTTCCTCATCCGGGGCAAGGGCACCCCCATGGTGATCCAGACAAGACAGGAAGGGGCCTCAGACCACGTGAGGCCACACTCCCGGGCACACACAGACACAGCGCCATAAACAGGAAGGTCTGTGGGGAGGCCGGGCTCAGCGACTTCCGCCAGTAGAACCAGAACCTCCCCCAGATGAGAAGCTGTGTGTGTGGGGGCGGGGGAGGGGGGAGCAGGGAAGAGCCTGGGGTGCTGGGGCCCCGTGGGGAAGTGTTAATCCAAGGATCTAGGACATCAGGGCCAGGAACTTGGGATGGGGGGGAATCCTCTCCCCAGGGGGCCCTGGCCTCTTCCAGGCATCACCTGCCCCCATTCTCGATCCCCAGGAGTCCCCACACCCCTCTGAAGGCTCAGTCACTTCCTTCCCTGAGCCACCGCCAAAGTGGAGACAGCACATGCGTGTGTGTGTGCGTGCGTGTGCATGTGTGTGTAAATCTGCCCCCCACCACCTTCCCCAGAGATGGTTCCCAACACCCAAACCAGCCCCCCACCACCTTCCCCAGAGATGGTTCCCAACACCCAAACCACTGACTTTGCTTGAGGAGGGCGATGGTTGGGGGAAAGGGAAGAACCAGGAGGGACTCAGCTTGTAGAGCCGCCTCTGGGGGAAACAGAAGTCACCCACATGCGTCTTGTCAGCATGTCTAGCACTGACACTGGCTCCACACGTGTCAGTGCACACACACACACACACACACACACAATCCCACACACTGGGCCGGCTCTCCCCGACCCCTGCCTCAGCCTCCACAGTCACAGCACGTCCCGCTCCTCCCTCCCTCGGAAACTGCCCCACAGGAAATGAGCCAGGGGCTCAGGGCGCTCCCCTGGCACACCCTGGGCGCCAGAGTCGTGGGTGCAGGGGCTGCTGGGAATTTTGAGAGGATGCCTCCCATTCCACCCTCTCCCGACAGGGCCCACCTAGATGGTCCCCTCCTCAGGGGCTCCCCCTGTTCTCACAGCACCAGGGCCTGCCCTGGGGCAGCCTGGCCAGGCTCATGTCAGCCAGGACCCCTTCGAGGCCTCTGCCCCCGCTGCCCAACACCCACCCCTGCCCCCAGTGCCAGGCTGGACCAAGCCGGGCAGGAGTGAAGCCGGCACCGGCACAGCCAGGGAATAGAGGGTCCCAGGAGGGACCCAGAAGCTGGGACATGAGCCCAGCCTGGCCCCTAAAAGAGAGGGAGCAGTGGGCCTGAGGGGTAGGGTGCCCCAGGGCCAGGGAGGGCACAGCCAGGACCGCAGGAGCCCCCGGATCCTGGGAAGAAGGGGGAATGGGCAGGTGGGTAAGCCGCTCCTCCCCAAGGCTGCCAGGGACCCCAACCCATAGAAAAGCCCATGGTCACCAGCGTGTCACCTGTTCCCTGGTCCTGGAGACCCACGTGTCCAGCAGCAGGTCCAGGCGAGAGCGGTGGAAGGCGCGGGTCGTCTTGACGGCGATGTAGACGTCCTGCAGCTGCAGCTCCGGGGGCGGCGGGCTCGGTGGGCTCAGCCCGGGGGTCTCCTGCACGCTCTTCGGGGACCGGCTCGCGTGGTAGCGAAGGGAGAGGAGCCCCAAGCACAGGAGGGTGAGGAGGGCTCCTGCCAGGCCCCGGAGGAGCCGGCACTGCATTGGCCCTGGGACCCCAGACAGCTCGGCCCCCAAATCCCAACTGGACGGGGAGGGGCAGCTGGTCCGGCAGGGGCTCCGGCAAAGACAAAAGTCTGGCAGGCATCGGGGGCCAGCAAGGAGGGGAGAGCTGGGCGCTGGAGCTCGGGCCCCAGAGGCCGAGCCACGGCAGCCCCTCTGCCTCTGCTCCGCCAGCCCTCCACCTGCTCTGGCCACCCTCCCCACCGCAGCCCGCCCCGCTCTGGGGCTCCTGGCCCCGCCCCTCCCTCCAGCGCAGCCCAAGGGGCGGGGCCGGCCCATGGGAGCCCCAGAGGTGGCAGCTAAAGAGGCAGCTGAAGGGACAGCCCCGTTCCTGCCAGCTGCTGCAGTGGGGGTGGGGGCAACAACAAACCCTCCGTGCCAGGGTGGAAGGGAGGGGCCCTCCGGCTGCCCACTCCCCAGAGACTGCCCGCTGCGCTCATTCAACACCCATTGTGTTGTGGTGCCCTGCTCTCCGGCCTCCCGGCTTTTGCTCAAGGTTCCCCCTCCTGGATGCTCTCCCCCATCCCCGCATCCTCACCCATGTTCCCTCCACCAGGCTGAATTCTGTTTGGATTTTAAGGCTCAGCCCAAGGGCTCCCTCCTCCAGGAAGCCTTCTCTGATGCCCTCCCAACTTCCGAGGCTCCCACAGTGGTTGGCTCAGTCCCTTTGGTCTTCACAACAGCACTAGGATGGCTACTCCCAGTTTAGAGCTGAACACATAAGGCACAGAGGATCTAAAATGGCCCGGGCGGTGTGGCTCGGTGGATGAGCGTCGACCTATGGACCAGGAGGTCATGGTTTGACTCTTGGTCAGGCCATATGCCCAGGTTGCAGGCTCGACCCCCAGTAGGGGGCGTGCAGGAGGCAGCCAATCAATGATTCTCTCTTACCATTGCTGTTTCTCTCTCTCCCTCTCCCTTCCTCTCTGAAATTAATAAAAATACTTAAAAAAAAAAAAGATTGGTTTTCCTTTACACTCTCTCCAGTCCTAATGTAGGGCTGGGCCATAGCAGGCCCAGCTCAGCCAGCTCAGTTCACACCCACCGGGTACTTCCTTACATGTAATTAATAAATATTTATTGAGCTGCTATGTGCCAGGCACTGTCCTAGACACTGTAGGTTCGGCGAATAGAAAAGAAGAAATCTCTGTCCTGGTGGTCTCAGGAGGAAGACGGGCAATAGGTAAGTAAAATGTAAAGGCGCGGGGAGATGAACCTGCTGTGCAGAGAACATAGTAGAAAGGGGCCTGGAAGCAGCTGGAGAGAAGGGACTGGGATTTACTTATTATTTATTTTTTTAATATGTTTTCATTGAATTTTAGAAAGGAAGGGAGAGGGAGAGAGAGAAACATTGATGTGAGAAACATTGATTGGCTGCCTCCTGCAAGCACCCCGACTGGGCACTGAACCCACAACCTGGGCATGTGCCCTGACTGGAAATTGAATAGCAACCTGACCTCCCGGTGCATAGGGAGGACACTCAACCAATGGAGCCACATCAGCCCGGGCAGGATCGCAACTTAAATACAGTGGTCTTGGAAGGCCTCAGGGTGAAGGTGACATTTACCATTTAAGTAAAGACCTGAAGGAAGGAAGGGAGTGAGGCAGGGACCCACCCGCAAAAGCAGAAGTCTGGCAGGCATCAGGGACCAACCAGGAGGGGAGAGCGAGCTGGGACCAGGAATTGAACCGTGACCTCCTGGTTCACAGGTTGACACTCAACCACTGAGCCACGCCAGCAGGGCTGGAACCAAGCCCTTTGAATCACCCTACTAAGGGCTAGTCCCAGGCCAGGCCCTTTCACAGCTCTTCTCAGAACAGCATCACCAGGCTTCCTGCCACACAGACCAGGGTTCAAGTCCTGACTCCGGGCAGGTGACTTCACCTCTCTGAACTTTAAAACGAGGACAACATAAGACTTGGTAAAAAGTAGAGGATTCGTGGACTCCTTCACCCCATGGAAGGTCCCCTAACATGGGACCAGGCAAAGGCAGCTGAGCTCCCAGGTTCCCACCTCTTCACCCAGACTCCTGGGTCCTTAGACCATGGACGAGGCACACAGCAAGGGGAGGTTCATTCACCCGAATGAGAACGACCCAGTTTCCTCCCCCAAGGAGCCCACAGCCACCCACAGAGGCCCGCCTTCCTGCCACAGGCAGGGCAGGGCATGGCCAAGGAGAAGCCCCAAGGCTGAGAGAATCAAGCAGGCTTCATGGAGACGGTGTCTGAGCCAGACCTCAAAGGACACTAAGAGTTAGGCAGCCCCCACCCCTGAACGTCCCAGCCTCATTTCCTACCACTTCCCAGTGGCCAAACTCAACCCATTTCCTGCCTCTGAGCCTTTGTTCTTGAGGTTTTCTCCACCTAGTAACCCACGCCCCCAAAATCTCCCAGGGGCCGGCCCAAGTTCATTACTGTTACCGAGAACACAGTCATAGGAGGACCTAGGACAGCACATAGGCATACAAGTCCAGTAAATGCTTCTTGAAGAAAGGAGTCACCTCAAACTCAAGTGGCACCTCCTCCAGCAGGCCTGCCGGGGTTTCTCCCAGCGGAGGTGACTGACCGCTCCCTGGAGGAGGTCTCAGGGACCCGACTGCACACTGAAGACTTGCTCTTGGTCTCCTGGACTCCGCAGCCGGGCCCTTAAACCCAAGACCACGCTCCGCTGGCTTCAGTGTCCCCACCCGAGGGGACACTCCTTTGATGATCAGACACAAGCAGGGCTCACCGTGGGGGTGGCCCATCTGTGGGGCCCTTCTCCGGTCATTCGGGGGCGGGTAAGGTGATGCCAGCACAGATGGCGGGCGGCTCTGGGGATGAGTCAGGAGTGAAATCTGACCCTCCCCAAGGGCAAAAGGGAACCTGAAAGGTGGTATCAAGCTGAGCTGCAGGTGGGGACAAGCGTCCCCCCACCCCCACCCCCACTAGGGATGCAAACAAGCAAAAGGCCACCAACTTCTATGACAAACTGTTTAATGTTCCATAACGTGCAGCTTCTGAGTGAAAAGGGCCCATTCAAACGAGCCGTACATTCTGGTGCCGGAGCAGCCGGGCCCCTCCCCACCTGTCCCTCTGGGAGGCGGCAGGGCAGGGAGGAGGTGCTGTGAGAACATGGTCCTGGGTGTGCTCACCGGGAACACACGTGTTAAGTGGCCGAGTGTCACGGGGGTGGGGGACATGACATTTACACAGGAGAGAGAACCACGGACACGTGTGTGACCTGAAGACACGAGACGCGGGCACAGGGGACAGTGAACCGGGGCAGCTACAATGCCCACGTGTGGAGCTATACACAGAAATGTGACTGACGGGGGGGAGTCCCAAAGGGCGGGCAGAACAGGCTGAGAGCCTGGAGACCTCGAGTGGCCGGGGGCAGGCTGACAGGAGCCTGCCCATGAGAACTTGGGTGTACACAACAGTACACAGTAGTGAGAACCCAGACGCTCGGGTGGGCAGTGACGGAGGGACACAGACCCACGAGCGGGGACGCAGAGACCGGAGGGCTCACAGGCAGGCCCCGAGCGGCAGGTACGGGCCGGAGGGTGGAAGCTGTCGGAGGGCTCCGGCTCCGGCTCCGGCTCCAGCTCCGGCTCCGGCTCTGGCTCCGGCTCCGGCAGGATCCCTCGGTGACAGCTCGGAGCGGAGCCCGAGGGCTGAGAAGGCTCAGGACAGGGAGGATGTCACAGGCTCAGCTCCCCACAGACAGCAGGGTCTCTTGGGGGCGTCTGAGTGCACGAGGAAGTCGCCGGCCCCCAAAGGGGCCCTCAGGCCTCGCTGCTGCTGCTGCTGCAGCCCCTGCTGCTGCCTCGCTCCACCCACACGAGGCGGGCCTGCTCCTGCAGGATGCGGCCGCGTACGACCTTGGCCAGCTCCTCCGAGTGGGCCCACGCGTGGGCGGGCACCTTCACCCAGGAGCAGGGCAGCGCCCAGAGCGCCTGCTCCGAGCTGCGGCACTGCCGAAGCAGCTCCGAGTCCCGCCAGCCCGGCCGGCCCAGCAGGCCCCTGCGAGAGAAGAGAGTGGGCAGTGGCAGAGAGGGGCACAGAGACGACAGAGAGAGACAAAGACACGGAGAGTTAGAGAGAAAGGACAAACAGATGAAGACAAATAGATGGCAAAGGAGGAGGGAGAAGACACAGAGGGAGAGAGAGCCAGGCAGAGACAGACACCCCCAGAAAGGAGGTTCGGGTCCGGCCTCACCTGACTTCCCGCACATTCTTCTCGGTCACCTCCACGTGGATGACGATGGGGTAGATCTCATTCTGGACCAGCTCCCGCACGCCCCGCGTGCCCAGCTCCAACAGGCAGTGCTTCTTCTCGGGGGTCAAGGTTACATTTTACTCCGGCCCAGAGGCACTAACGTCCCTCCCCCACACACACCCAGCACTGGGCTCCACAGCACTGCCCCTACAGGGTCCTGCTTCCCCATCCACAGGGACCTTGGCAGTGAGGGAACAACGAGGAGGGCAGGCAGGAGACCTGGGGAAATAAGTCACTTTGCCTCTCTGGACCTCAGCCTGCACATCTATAGGATCAAGCTAATCCCTCCATCTCCCCCCCCCCCACCCCCCGGTGTCCCAGCCCGCTGCCAGGGCAGTGGAGGGTTTGCGGACACGGAGACAGATAGGTGAGATGTACCAGCCATTCACAGGTGAGGAAAGGCCCACAGAATGGAAGGGACTGCCCAGAGCAGCCCCCACCCCAGCACCTACCTTCCCAACAGACTCCTGGATGGCACGAATCCTGCTGCCCAGCCCAGGGGTGGCAGGCCGGGCCTTGGGGGCTCCGGGAGCTGAGGGTGCGCACTGCTCCTCCCCGGACAGGCTTTCTGGAGAGCAGGAAGAAGCCAGAACCAACGGCCGGTGGGCCTGGCTGCCCCTGAGTGCCACCCTGCCCTCCCCTCTCCGGGCACAAAGGCTCACCCGCTGGGCACACTTGGAAGTCCAGCCGGGAGTTGGGCAGGTCTAGCAGGTTGCGGATGAGCCGAGGCGCCAGGCACTCGGGCAAGAGCACCACGGGCCGCAGGGAGGGCACCAGCAGCGGCCGCACCAGGCTGTAGGGTTTGAGGCTCCACTCCGGATCTGTGGCAGGGGCGGGTGCAGAAGAGATGAGGGTGCAGGCAGGGCCCCAGCTCCTCTTTTCCAGGGTGCCAGCCCCCTCAACATTCAAAACCCCATCACCTCCTC